ATGAGGTAGTTAGGAGAGGTTAATGTGCATTAATGATGGTTTGAGGTGTTATTAATGATAATGTACATTAATAAAATCTAATGAGCCTATTGGGTATGAATGGGTAGTGGTTATGAGTTGATAAAATAGTGTTTGTGGAGTTTTATGCTCAAGAGTTAAGTAATAATGATATCCTTGTGATATGGTTGTAGAGAGGTTTGTTTTGGCACTATTCGAACTCGTTGAAGCTTGGGGAGGTTGCTATAGTAAGGGGTAAACTTTTGACCTCTCAAAGGTTTGAGGTAACTGGAAGAAACTTAATTTTTATAGTTGTCTGTTAATTGCATTGTGAAATGTGATTTATGGTTAATTATGCATGTTGGCAAATGTGTGATTGTGAAATGGTTTCTTTTAAAAGAAAACCTTGATTTCTACCACCCTTGATGTTTTATGAAATTAATTGTGAATTACGAATAAGGGTGGAGAATTGTGATGAAATATGTGTTAAAGTGTAGAGTAATTGTGTTATATGAGTTCATGTGTTGAGAAAAGATTGTTAAAATGCATATTATGTGTGAAATGTGCGTAACATGATCATTGGTGGGAGTTCGCCTAGGGAGAGGAGTAGATTGGTTGAAATTCACGTCGTATTGGCAGTGACTGTTAGAATTGGTAACTAGCCTTGGCACCGACTATTGGAATCAAAAGGTAGCCCTTGTCCTATGGTTGATTCTGGACTATCCTACTTATTTTATGAGGGACTTAAATCTAACTAGTCTTCATTGATTCATAAGGAGGCTAGATTAGGGGTATGACACCTTATGGTTATTAGTATTGGGAGAAACTGGATTACATAAGTGATTGAGTTAACCCTGGCCTAGTAACTCCTCACAAGTAGAAGGCTGGGTTAGTCCGTGAAGGACATAGCCTCGTGATAGCCATCGATTTTGTGTCGGAGGTAACAAGAGGATATGAGGTTGGCATATGATCATGCATATAAGTCCGACCACATGATTGTTAGTTTTGTGGTATGGCACGTGTTAAGGGCGCATGGTTGTTATTTTTGCTACCCTGAGTTATGTTTTTAAAAATAACATGATATAATATTTTGTGACAAGTCTGGTCATATGATTGTTAGTTTTGTGAACCGTGGCCTAATTCTATGTGAAATATATGTTTATGTGCTTAATTGCATCTATTTAAAATTAATTTGTAACTGTACGGGTTAAGGGAAACTTGATTATTGAGTAGTTGTACTCACCCCTCAATTCTCAATATTTTTAAGGACTAGCTCATCGGATCCAAGTCGGGGAAAACATACTGAGGCTTAGGATTAGTGGAGTAAATCCTCTATATGTCTCTCTTTTATTATTTACATGTGTATTTGTTAATGTAATTGCCAACTAGGATTAATTGTCATGATTGGTGTACTACTTGCATGATTTTATATTTAACTAGTGTATTTTGTGCCCTGAGTTAATGAGTTTTTGTTGTGAACCTAAGGATAGGGCCAAAATACTTGTGCAAGTAGGAACATTTGTATTTTTGAGAAATATGAATGAAATGGTTGATTTTGTACAACCTTTCCTCCCTCTCTGTATTTTGTGAAAATTGAGGTTGAGTGGTGATTTTGTGAAACAAGTGTTTTTGGTTGTGTGTGGTGTGTTGCACGAGTCCACAAGAATTCATTGAGTATGGTGGGAGGGTTGGTGTAGGCTATTAGCACATGTGGTTGAGTTGCGACACTTAATTTGAGAAATTTTGTAAACATGTGTCAAAATGAGTTTTAGTGTCCAACTTTTGATAAAAAATGAATTTGAGTATGAAATCAATGTCATTAGCTAGAGCTAGGAGAAAGCTTTATATGGGCACCAAAACCACCTCAATTAGACATCAGACGAAGATTTTAGACTCGTCAGAAGTTCGCTCCTTGTGCTGTCAAATGATAACACTGATCTGTCAAATTTTGTGTAATGTGTCGTGACATATAGCGCCTCACGTCGCGGCGCACGTGTCAAATTCTGTGTGAAAATTTGTTTTGAGTTAAAAAACTCATTATTTGGGTCTCATTGTCTTCCAAGCTTTCGCTTTGTTTTTAAAACTCTGATCTGGAGTCCTTAAATTATATTTGAAATTTGAAATGACAAATTAGGATTCCTTTGAAATAATTTTAAAAAAATTCTTCTTTTAAACCCTCGGATAACTATGCTTTAGAGTAATTTGTGGTTTAACTTCAGGGAGGTTATAGTTATCTTTAGGTGCCTTTCTATTTTCAAGTTGAGTTTGAATTTTTAAATGTCTTTCCTTTGGGGTTTGAGATTGAGGAACAAAAACTTCTTATGAATTTCTATTATTGCTTTTTAATGGTGTGACATTAGGATCATATGGATTGTCCTCTTCATAATTATCTTGCTTTTTGCCTTTGTTCTTTCTAATCTCCTTCCAATTTTCTTCCATTCGATAGCGAATATCAGCAAGTACCTTTTTGCAACTTATTGCATCCCTTTTCTTTCTAGTAAGGTGTTTGTTTCATTTTGTGAGTCCCTCCACCACCAATTTCTTTTGCATAGTACAAACATTTTAAATGAACTTTGCCATCTAGGAGCTTGACCCTAGCACAATGCTCCCATATAGGATTTATCTTTGATCTAACAAATTGTATTGATGTAGTAGTTGAAGCATATTCAAATGTCACTTTCTACAAGGAAAAATCTATATTTGTCATCAAGGGACCTACTCAACATATAAACATCGATCAATACACCAACTAATAAACGTTAATCCACTATATTTGCAAGAATATCCACAGGTCACACTACACAAACAAGGTTCTATGGTTGATAGTTGTAATATATTTGCAATTTTTCCATTGATCAAGGCAACTTGTAAGCCCGAATAAATGCCAAGTATTCTATTACATTAATGAGTTTCAAGTACAAAGATTAATATTAATAGTTTTTTATATATAAATTAATGAAATTATATCAATTAATAAACAATTAAATATTCTCTTTTTCATAGATTAAAAATACTTTGTAAAAGCATACAGAGTTAAACTCTTTATATAATCTAATCCATCAATAAGGATTAATGAAATGCAAAATATTAACATTAAAGTCTTAAGCAGATCTAAATTTTCAATCCACATATTTATCAATTTCTTTGTATATAAAACAGCAGAGGACATGCTTAAGAAAAAAGTTCCAATTCTTGGCTAAGTATGTTTAATATTGGCAATGAAGCAATTGAATATTCAAAAGTACAATAAGAGTGAATTTCTAGAGGCTGTATATGACTAGCCTAATAAGACTAATTACTCCATCATGTTCTCCATTCATAAACACATACAGAGTTTGTGTGAACACCCACTCAACATGACATATGCATAAGCAAAAATATTTGTAAGACAAATACCTTTTCTATATGGATTAGTACATGCAACATGAGGAAGGGGTGTGAATTGTTTCACGAATAATTTTTCTATTCGGCAACAAAACAATCTTCACATGATGTCAACCTAAAGATTCTAATATCTAAGGACTTGAAATACAAAAATCTTACTGTGATGATGAAGTAGACACATGAAGAAGAATATCAAAACTCAAAAGACGATTGGACAAGAAGAAGGGAATGGTGATGGGGATCAGTTGGTAGCAATGAGTAGAGGCAAACAAAACAATCAACGAGACAAAGAAGAAGGGAGGATGAATTTTAGAGTTTAGCATCGCTGGCTGCTTAGCTCGGTGTATGCCATGGTCAACATCAATTGATTGGGGCTTGAGTGAGGGTCAACATCAATTGCGTAGCCGTAGTTGCACCATTGTAGAGAATGAGATGAGAAGGAGGACAAAGTTGAAAATGTGTGCTCTGCTCTATGTCCATGCATCATTTTAGTTTTAGGGAAAGGGTAGATGGGTCATTTTATGAGTTGTTCAGTTTTTAAGAACTAAATCAAGTTTTTGATTTAAAAGCCAATCCACAACGATTTAATCCGACCTAACCCCAAAATAAGTGTTTCATGTTGACCCAGTCGTTAGCGTGGTCTAATCTGATTTTTAAATAATTGATTATCACATCAACACTAAATACACTAAATTCCGTAACATTTTTAGGGTGAGAGCTCTATGGTGATGACATGGTGGAATGTGAGTAAATGTCTAGTATTTCAACATCTTTGATGTTGACAAAGCAAAATTTTAAAAAATGCCCACAGATGAATGTATGCATCATTTGATTATACCATTTTTAAATGAGAGAATCACATCTAGCCCCCTCATAAGAGGATTAATTACAGATAATGACCAATAATAAGTCCCATTCAAAAAAAAAGTCATGTTCTCATTTTAATATTTTATTTTTTATGGATTTTTATTTGTGATTAATTCCTTTGAGGAGTATTGCTAAATGTGATTTTCCCTTTTTAGATCCACATGGACAAGTCTTTACCAATTATATCTTCCTCTTTCTGTTTTTGGTATCTAGATGAGTTTGTTATCATTAAGTTTAAGGGTTTTATAATTATTATAACCGCCATTTAATTTATTTAATAAAATTATATTATATTATTAATTCAAAACATCGTTGACAGTACGTTGCCATGATATGATACTTTTCTTATATAAAAATACAAGGCATTTTTAATCAAATCTCACCCTCAATAAAGTAGTTATCTACTTTTTAATTAATTCTTTTTTTTCATATTTACCCCTATTAAATACCCTACAATAAATATAAAGTCATTATCAATAGAGACATTTAAAAAAAAAAGATAATAATTACATTTCAAAAGATTAAAAATATTTTATATTTTTTAACATTCAACTCTTTAAAAAATATTTTATATTTTTACCAGAGAGAGTGACACTTATTCCAAAAATATTATATTTTAACACCATTGGCGACCCTCCCCATTCCTCATTTCAAAAATATGATGTTTCATTTTCCATTTTATTATTAATATTAATTAATACATCATATTTAGGTCTATTGTGTAATAGTAAATCATCGGCAAGTGAGTGAAATTCGTTTATTTGCTGCAAGCGTAAAGACGAGCAACTATCGCAGCATTATCTGGTCTGTTCCTTCTGAAATTCAACCACCAAACAAAATGGCGGCGATGCCTTCTCCTCCTCTCTCCGCCTCCAATTCCGCTAACTCCGCCTCCCCTTCTACCAACCAGGTGACTCCCTCGCATGCTTCTTCTTCCCTCATGCACGCTCGGATTTGCTTTTTTTTTTCCCCCTAATTATTTGAAGGGTTTCGCTTATATTTGCCAGGCGGAAATTGCTGAGAGCAATGGCGACGAAAAGCCTGATTTAACCGATGGTCTCGAGTAATATTCTACATCCGTTTCTCTCTTTTTTTCCTTTTTTATTTCCCCTTATTAAGTTTTTGGCTTCGTGTGTAGTTATTTTACGCGATCTTGAACCGAACTAGATTTTTTGAATTTTATTTAAGTTCATTTAAAATGGAGGGAGTGATAGAAATTGCAAGTATTTCCTACCCAGTTCTCTTTCGACGGCCTTATTCTTTTACCATGAAAGGAAACTGAGCTTCTCTTTCCTGTATATTCTCCTCCACCTGAATCTTTGAAATCCCGTTCTCGAACGTATTTGTGATTCAATATTTTCAAGTAGATGATCAAGGAAGAAAAAGGATATGTTTATACACCTACATTGCATCCTCATCAAGTGAATGCGTCTGTCTTGTATGCTGTTGAACATTTGAACTAAAAGCAAAGTCATGTTATAGTCAACTTTCGCGGTTCAGAAGGACAATAAGAAACGCTAATAATTTTCTTAATGGATGCAGCATAGAAAGTGTGAGAAAATACAACCTTATTGATCTGACAAAAATGTTCTGATGTGATGATGTTAATTTTTTAAGATATTGTTATCTGTGCACGAAAGCTAGGAAAAAGTGACTATTGACTGAACTTCTTAGTTTTCGCGACTTGGATGCACACAAGGAATAGATATCTGTCTGATATGCAGGACCTATTACTACAAAAGATTTTGCTAAATAGCATGAAAAGACAAGACAAAGTGACAATACCTGGAAGCTGGAACTATAAACTGTGACAAAGTGAAAAATTAAATAGAACTGAACGAAGAAATAAGCAAGAAAGTGGCATGGTTGAGATTATGCAAATGAGAGTGTTCATGGAACTTACTGGTCCTGCCTGGTTTTGCATCATCAAACTGCCTGTTCTTTCTTTCTTTCTTTCTTTTTTTTAACCATTCAGGTTTGGTTTTGACCTTTGAGTATCCTGCAAGGAGAAGCTTTCTGCTCCTTCTCTATCTTCTTGCCTTGCATATATAGTTTACTTTAATTCCTCTTTACTACTATGATTGATAAAACTATTGTCATTTCAAATCTCACTGTACAGAATTAACTTTCTTGGGGATATCTTTAAAATGGACTAAAATTGTCTTTGGCTATCATGTAACTTCATTTTTTAGTCAAAATAATATGGCCATACAAAAGCCCCATCATCCATCCCCTTTCCCTTGGGACATATTCTGAAAACAGGTGACTACCCTAATTTGCCTCTGTTTTGAATCAATTCATCTACATTTTTGAGAATTTTTCTTTCACAAAAGAATCTAATTTTACATCTAAAAATGTAATTATGGTTCCATATAATATGCACCTTGTATTTGTATGACATGTATCCTTGGATAGATGGATTACATTTCTTCAAGTTCCTTGTCCAAATGAAGATAATTATTTTTGTAATTCATTTTGTAGTGATCTGGATAGCACACACTACATTGAAAGGTTTAAAAAATATGAGGCTGACTACACCCGTCGCTTGATAGCCAAGTATTTCTCTGGAAAAACCCTAAACGGAGGTATGCAACAATACTCATTCAAATGGATATGCAATATGATGACAAGTTAAGTTTAAAGAAATTTAAGGCGCCTGCTTTCACTGCTAGATTGTGAGCTTGTGACTTGTATGATAAATTTCCTCGATTTCAGTATAAGAACTGCTGTGCAAATGCTGGCAAATATATTGACACAGTTCATATCATGTTTCTTTTGGGTTATGGTTTTCATAATTCTGACATCAATTTGTGACCAACGATGTGATTTGAAGCAAAAGCGTTTATTGCATAGTCTCTCCTGCACTTGGTTTTTGTGCTCTTGACCACTCTCTCTTTGGATCTCAAACTGGTTCTATCGATCTATTCAGATTGGTAACGTTCAAATCTACAGTCCTATGTGAGATGATGTTTTCTTTCTTATCTGCAGTCAATCAAAGCATTCCTATTTTAAAATATAAGAATTAGTATTAGCAATTTAGGAAAACAGTTCTCGTGCCACTAATGTAGTATTGGACAAGTGAGATGATATATGTTAAGAGTGTATGAAATTGTAATGGCATGTGATATTGTAAGGAAAATAAAATATCTTATCATCTTGTAGTTTCATAATGTTAGCCTATTTCATTTATTTCATTTCTTTCATACACGTATTTTGACACAATGGGATGGCAGCAATATAGCCTTTAGAACGTGAAAACTTGAATGAGACATGATACGACACGTCAAAGAACACCTAAAAGCTTTTAGCTTTTCGTTTCCCCTGATATTTCCTGTATGTGTTAAAGTTCATGTTTCTTTAAAGAGACACAGCCTGGTCATGTTTACAATAATGTCATGACAGCAAGTTAAAAGCACGAACTGAGCTTCATACTTTGTTCTTTCTTAAGGTATAAACTTGACAGTAAATAAGACCTTTTGCAGGCAACATATTTGATGAGCAAGTGACAATAGATGATGAAGTAATAAAGCCAAGCAGGTAAATCAAACTAAGAATGTCTGAGGGACCAAAAATTTTGGACATTGCAGAACTAATGTGCTAGGTAATCATTGTCCAGGTTGCCTTGTTACCATTCATACGCAAACCCCATTGTAGGTTTTGAAGAGCAATGCAGCAATGGATCAACCCCAGGAGTAGAAACTCCTCCAAATATGTCAAATGGGAAACACATTGTGAAGAATAGTTGATCGCACATTTGCATATATGTACATCAGAGAAGATGGCTTCATCAAATGCCAATACCAATCGCAGAATGATTATCAGGGATTTGATGAAACTGACTGACGTGATGCGTATAATCATGTGTAGAGGGTTCCTGATTCATACAATTCAATATAAAGAAAACAGACCAACAGAGGTCATTGAGATTATGTTCGATTATTTCAATGATGGGTTTGTTATGCATTGTTGATCCATTTGTAATTCATAAATAGTCTATACTTGATTTTAGTGTATGAAGATCTGTAGAATCATGGATCACAATGTGTGAGAGCACAAATGAACTATTTTGTTTGAGAGGGTAGAACGGCCAATCTCAGCGAATTGAATCAGAGCTTCTGAAGTTACATCAGAAGCCAGCAGTTTGAAGGCTGAAGGGATTGAGCATTGAGGGATCATTCTTTTACCCTTGTCTGAAGGAATGGGAGAAGCCAAGTTTGGCTTGTCTGTCAAAATATTTTTCACTTGCCAAACATCATATGAATTATTTGGATTTGTTATGAATAAAATATATTTTTTTGGGAGAATCTCACCTAGGCCCCTATAGTACAAAAATTTGCATTTAGGGTTCAATATAATTTGAAAACTCTTTGTAGAGCCAATGACTTTAAGTGAAAATATGTTTTAACGAAAAAAAAATATGCATTTGCTCTTGGGCATTTTATTGTTAATTACAAGACGTTCTGTCGTGTATTTATAAACATTGTATGGTATATTCATGAACATTTTGTTCTTTTATTCGGCGCAACTTGTATATTTTCCTTTAAGTTAAATCATTTTCACTAGATTAATTATACATTACAAGACATTGTGTTGAAATTTTATAGACATTGTATTGCATGTTCATGAATATTTTATTATTCTTTTATCATATACAACTTGTACATTTCAAGTTAAATTATTTTTACTAGATCAATTATGCAGTATAGAATATTGTGTTAAGAATTTATGAACATCATATTGTACACTCATGAAAATAAGGAGGGCAAATGTATTTTTCTTTCATCAAAACATTTTCACTTAAGGCTTTTAGGCTTGTAGACAATTCAAATTATATTAGGTTTGTGCTTTGCGGGCCCTTAGATGATATTCTTCCTTTTTTTTCTATTTTGACATTATTTTTATATTATGAAAGAAGCAGAATATTTAACAAAAAGATTAGGGAAAAATACTTAAACTATAGATCATCCATTAAATTTAGATGGTCTAAAGATTATGTTATCTTGGCTGGGCAAAGGAATTGAGCTTTGGGTAGTTATTCTTTAGTTATTATGGCATGAAAGTGTGATAAGTCAGGAATAAAATGATATGATATTTTTTCTCATGAAAATGGAGAAGGGAAGAGAGTTTAAAAAAGAAAAGGGAAAGGGAAAAATAAAGGAAATAAACTCCTTTTAAAGATTTGAAATTGGAGGAAGTTAAAATTATAAAGAATGATAACATGGGAAGATTTTGAAAAATTGGCTGAAATCTTTCCATAATTAATTTCCTATTAATATTCCTAGATTATTGTCTTTCACATTACTTATTATTCTTCCATCAGTTATTATTTTATTGGTGAATTTCTTCCTTCTTGAAAATAAGCTTTTACTAATAGCTGTACTCCAGCAATATATATTTCAGTTACTTCATCCTTAAATGGTAATTTATTAATTTTAATATCTATTAGGGCTTTACTTATTAGAAGTATTCTTAAAGCTCATTCTGTTAAAGTTGATTCTATAGGGTATTTCTTTTCTAACATTACACATGCATATTTTTCATGTTTTTTAAATTTTACAAGTTTTTCTACTTTGTTTATAAACCTTTCATTTTTTAATTCTTCATGTTTTAAATTTAATTTTGTATCTCTTATCTTCCTATATTATTTTTGGTTAAAAGTTATTCTTTTTTGAACTATTCCTTTTTCAGCTTCTATGGCTTCTTCATATTTATCATATTCATTATGATTATTACTTTCAGATTCATCTTCTAGTCTATTTATCATATACACATAACTCATTTCTTTTTTAGATTCACTATTTTCAGTTTCACTTTCACTAATTATTTTTAGTTTAAAGATTTTTGTATCTGATTTATTTAATTTATTTTTTATTTCAAATAATTCTCCATCATATCCTGTAAGTTCTAAATTTTTTTTTATAAACTTCTTCCATTATTTTTATTATTTTTTTATTTTTTTACTTGGACAGTTAGGCGATATATGTTCTAATTCTTCACAATTATAACATTTATATTTTTTAGGTTTTTTATTACTATTAATTTCCTTTTTTCTTTTCTTTTAAAGAATTTTCTTGGTTTGTATTTCCTGTATTTTTTTATAATATTTTTCTTTCAGATATTTTCTAAATTTTATTTTAATTTTCTCTTTCTCTTTCTTTCTTTTTTTATATTATTCTAGTTTACAACCTCATTTATGTCCTTTCATTATTTCTCTACATCTCAATATATTTTTATTAGTTTTATAATATTTCATATTTCTCCATGCATTTCTACATTTATCAGTTATATATTTTCTTAAAAATAATTCTCTTCTTTCCATTATGTCTACTTTATTGAAGACATTTATTGATCCTTGATTTAAATCATCTAACATTGTATTTGATAATAATTTTGATAATTTTCTTCTTTTAAGTCTCCTAATCTTGCTTCATAGTAATATTTTTTATATTCACTTATAAAAGCATTTAAATATTTTGGTTCTAATGAGCATAATTCTATTTCATGTAATATTTTTATTGCATCTTTTTCTTTATATCTCTTGTTATTCCTACAAATTCATTTAATAATAATGTTTGATATTTTTCTATAATCATAGGATAATATTCTCTTCTATTACTATAATTTTTATCTGGTTTTCTAAAATTTTCTCTAAATTTTTGAGATTTACTTCTCCACCAATTTTGCACATTTTCTAAAATATTGCTTCTACTAACATAGTTGCAATTTATCTAAATTTTTTCTATTAATGCTATTAATGTTGTTTTTCTCCATTCTTCTATTATTTTACTATTATCTAAATTACAGTCTAAATCTAACTATGTTCCTGAATTTGATATTTATTTATTTTCATATTGTGCTAAAAATGTTGGTATAAATTTATTATTTTTTGGTATATCAAAAGTAGTTTTAAAAGGTATATTACTGCAATTTTCTTTGTTTGGTTTTATAAAATCAGTTTCATAATTTGATTCATGTTCGTCTAGTTCAACATTCTTTCATCTCTTGATTCTTCAGAGATTCTACTTAATTTTATATTTCTATTATTATATGATGAACTGTCTAAATTTGGTGGTTTAAAATCTTGAGGTATGTCTATGGTTGTTTATAAATTACTAATTGTGAATTTGTATTTTGCATATTTATAAAAGCTTCATCATAATTATTATTTATAAATGATTCTATTCTTATTTTATTTTTTCTAATTCTTTTCTTTCTTCATTTTCTTCATTTTCTAATATTTTTCTAATTCCATTTCTAATTCTTCTAATTGACTTAGTTCTTCAGCTTTTATTTATCTATGCCTTGGCCATATTTATGTTTACATTTTGTTGTGATTTTTATTGTATTTTCTTTGGGGTTTATAATTATAATTTTCTAACATTATTTCTGCACCTCTATTAGCTTCTTCATATTCTTCTTCATTTATTTCATTTTCTCTTTGCAATTTTCTTTCTATTTCTCTTTCTAGTTTTGTTTTCTTTCTTTTTCTTTTCTTTTGCATAATTTATTCCATTTTCTTTATCAAATATTTCTAATTCTAAATTTTTTTTATTTGTGCATGTATAAACCATATATTATTTATTCATTATTTCTTGTCCTTTTCTTAATTTTTTTGTTTTTCTATTCTAATTTATTTTATATTTTCATGTATATCTTATTTTTTTATTTTTTTCTTCAGTCATATAATTTTCTTCAACTATTCTCATCATATTTACTTGTAACCATTCTTCTTCCATACTATTTATTGTTCTTGATACTAGTAATAGTTTATTCCTCCTAATTTATGATATATTAACAAGGTTTTATTCATATTTTCATCAGCTCTGGATATACAAAAAATTAATATTTATTGTAAATTTTAATTTTTGATATATTAAATTTTTTGTTAATATTCTAAGAATACTATCTTCCATATTATATTATTTTCCATTAGTTCTTAATAATTTTATAAGTGAATTTTTTCCTTTTTGAAATAAACTTTTACTAATAGCTGTACTCTAATAATATATATTTCAGTTACTTTATCCTTAAATGGTAATTTATTAATTTCAACATCTATTAAAGCTTTACTTATTAGAAGTATTTTTAATACTGATTCTATAGGGTGTTACTTTTTAACATTACACATGTATATTTTTCTTATTTTTTAGAGTTTTATAATATAAATTTTTTACTTTGTTCATAAAACTTTCCAGACATAAACTCCTTTTAAAGATTTGAAATTGGAGGAAGTTAAAATTATAAAGAACGATTAACGTGGGAAGATTTTGAAAAATTGGCTGAAATCTTTACGTAATTGTTTCTTGCTTACTAATTATTATGGGGGGGGGGGTGAATTTTTCCATTCTCTATCCTTTACAACAGCAAGAATCTGGCTGTCATTTTCCCAAAACAAATTATGAGTGAGCTCATCTGAAGGGTAGGAATTCCGTTTCATCTGGATGTATCATGGCACGTACAGCACTAGTGCCAGTGTTGCCCCGTTAGCCCAAATTAACTGTTTGTTTCAAGTTAGTTTCTATTGACAAGCCATGAGTCTAGCCTGAAAGTACACAAAATTTATAAAATCTAAAAAACTAAGAAAATATACATGTGTAATGTAAAAAAGTAACAACCCTATAGAATCAGTATTAAAAATACTTCTAATAAGTAAAGCTTTAATAGATGTTGAAATTAATAAATTACCATTTAAGGATAAAGTAAACTGAATATATATTATTAGAGTACAGCTATTAGTAAAAGTTTATTTTCAAAAAGGAAAAAATTCACTTATAAAATTATTAAGAACTAATGGAAAAATAATAAATAATATGGAAGATAGTATTCTTAGAATATTAACAAAAAATTTAATATATCAAAAATTAAAATTTACAATAAATATTAATTTTTGTATATCCAGAGCTGATGAAAATATGAATAAAACCTTGTTAATATATCATAAATTAGGAGGAATAAAACTATTACTAGTATCAAGAACAATAAATAGTATGGAAGAAGAATGGTTACAAGTAAATATGATGAGAATAGTTGAAGAAAAATTATATGACTGAAGAAAAAAAATAAAAAAATAAGATATACATGAAAATATAAAATAAATTAGAATAGAAACAAAAAAAATTAAGAAAAGGACAAGAAATAATGAATAATAATATATGGTTTTTATACATGCACAATAAAAAAAAATTTAGAATTAGAAATATTTGATAAAGAAAATGGAATAAATTATGCAAAAAGAAAAGAAAAAGAAATAAAACAAAAACTAGAAAGAGAAATAGAAAGAAAATTGCAAAGAGAAAATGAAATA